CTTCCCCTTTCCTTCCATTTCTTGGTCCCTTCCTCATTTGCTAAAGAACTATCTTCCTGATTCATTTTATCTACCTTTTATTTTGCTTTTTATTTATACATTGGGTTTCTCGTATGAGAGAAACCTTCTGTAATTTAAGCATGTGTGTCTGATTTATTTTGCTTAAAATTATGTTTTCAAGGTGCATCTATTTTCTACAAATGACTCAAATTTGACCTTCTTTAAAGCAGGGTAGTATTCCATTACGTATAAATATCACATTCCTTTATTCTTTCATGGATGGATATATAGGTTGTTTCCAAGATTTAGCTATTAAGATTTGTGCTGCTCAGTTTGTAATAGCTAAAACTTGGAAACAGCCCAATTGCCCATCAACTGGAGACTGGATAAAGAAAATGTGGGTTTTTTTTTTTTAATAAAATGGGGTACTACTCCACCATAAAGAATGAGAAATTAGAAACATTTATAGTTAAATGGATGCACATTGAGGCAATGCTCTTATGTGAAATAAATAGTACACACATGTGTAAATACTGAATCGTTTCTCTGGTGTGAGAAACTGAAAGTGTAAATAAGGGCTAAAAGGTATAATAGATAATGTGAAGTAGGAAGAAAAGGGATAAAGGGGAAGGGGAAATGGGAAGGGTAGAGGAAAGGAAAGAAGGGAATGGAATTAATACGAGAAAATGAAAAGACAGAAACAAATTCTATGTAAATAGGCAGGGGTGGAGGGGTTGAAGGGAGGGCAGGGGAATGGGGAAAAAAATAAGAACCAAGAGAGACTATGTTAAGGTGCAAATTTCCAATGATGATTGTCACTATATTGTATACCTAAAATGCACCAATAAAATTAATTTTAAAAAAGATTTGTACTGCTATTAAGGTTGATATGTGGATATAACTGTAATATGATGTCTTTTTTTTTTTAAGAGTAGGAAAAATTTATTGGGAGAAAGAAAACTTCTGCCTAAGAGAGATAGAAAGGAGACCAGAAAGTGGGTTGCCCACTCACCCCACTCTTCAAAGATGTTTTATACAGCAAAGCCATGTGGTGAGGCGGGTACAAAGTGGGACAAAACTATAAGACCCAGTGGAAATTTACAAGGTGGGCATGAGGTGGGACAAGACCATGACCAACCAATAAGATTACAAGTACAATCACCCAGGTACTATTGATTAAATGGGGGTCAAATGGGGGAGCAAGTCACGTAGCAAGCATACAAGGATTTTCAGTAAGAGTGAGGGTCAGGGATATTTCCTGGGGAGGCGAGGTTAAGACCTTGACCCCTCACCCAGGTAATTTATACCTATTTAGAATATCAATCACTGCCATTTATCCCCAGGGGAAGCACAAGGGTGTGTAGTTTCTCTCCTCTTACAATTCTGGCCTTCAGTGAATGTGTCTTGATTGTCTTCCATGTTGGCGCCTTGTTGTGTTGGCTCCTGGAGGGCTGGTCCTGTTTAATTTCACACAAGATATCTAATTAACTTACCTATCTGAAATATTCCCCCCTCTGAAGAAGTACCCCTAACTGCTGTGAGAGGGCAAAGGCCAAAGACTGTTCTGGCTACTTCCAGCTGAAGAGGGTCGTAGTTGTGATCAGCAGTTAGAGTTACACTACAGAGAGTCCATCTAAAGGCCCTTGAGAGGTGCCAGGCATTGTCATCTTGGTAGCCATATAGCTTTGAGTCTGGAGGAGATAAGGCCAAAGAAACAGTTAATACATGAGCCAAATTATAAGGTCAGCAGTACTGCTATGAATATAGCCAATAAGGGTTTCCACCGGGAGGAACTAGTAATAGCCTCCCACAGAAAGGATAAGGAGAAGGTCCAGGGGACTTCAGAATCCAACATAGAAGTCATATTGTGTAGTTTATCAATTATGAGCTGTTTACAAAGTCAATCTGGTGAATCCCTGTAAAAGAACTATAGTAAATTTGTCATTGGTTCCATTTGTATGACTGCTTGGAGTTTGGCAGCCTCAAAGATGTAGGAAAGGTTCCTTCATGTCCTGGATACTTTGTTGACCTTGAGGGGCCAGGACCAAAATATTGGCTGTCCTCTTAGCCCAGTTACCTTTCTAGTTTTGGTCTCCAAACTTTAACTTTAGTTGTTGAACACCTCTGACCAGTAATCTTGGTGGAAGATCTCCAAAATGATATGGGGGGAAGAGATTTAACTTCCAAACCTACTAGATATCTGAAACGTGAGTTCATGTTCTCTAAAATCAAAGAATGAATTCTAGGAACAACAGAGGATAAAAGTAGGAAAAATTTATTAGGACAAAGAAAGCTTCTGCCTAAGAGAGACAGAAGGGGAACCAGAAAATGGGTTGCCACTGTAATATGATGTCTTATTCTTTTGGGAAGATTCCTACTGGGGGAATACCTGGGTCAAATGGAATTTCTTGTTTTAGCTTTTTGAGGAATCTCCACATTGATTTCCATAATGGTTGTGCTAGTTTACCTTCTCACCAGCAATGTAGAAGGGTTCCTTTTTCACCAGAGCCTCACCAGCATTTGTCATTATTTGATTTCTTAATGATAGTCATTCTTTCTTGAGTAAAATGAAATCTTAGTGTTGTTTTAATTTGTATTTCTCTAATGGTCATTGATGTTGAATATTTTTTCATGTATTTGTGAGCCATTTATACTTCTTTTGAGACATGTCTATTCATTTCAGTTCATTTTTTATTGGGTCTTTTATTTTGCGGGATCTAATTTTTTTTGAGCTCTTTATGTATTCTAGATATTAGTCCTCTGTCCAAGGTGTAGCTGATGAAAACTTTTTCCCATTCTATAAGTTGTCTCTTCACTTTGTTGATTATTTCCTTTGCCATGCAGAAGCTTTTTAACTTGATGTAGTACTGTTTGTTGACTTTTGATGTTATCTATTGTGCAATTGGAGTTCTTTTCAGAAAGTCCTTGCTTACATCTATAACTTCAAGAGTTTTATCTGTTTTATCTTCCAGCAGGTTATGCCTATGACCTCAAGAGTTTCACCTATTTTATCTTCCAGCAGAGTAAGCATTTCTGTTTTATTATTCAGATCTTTGATCACTTATCTTCTTTTGCTTTTGTTGAATAATCATTCTTCTTCACTGAGAAAATTGGGGCTATCAGTTATCACCTCTCCCAACTCCTGCTCTGCTACCCACCATACTGTCTATGCACAGATCCATGTTTAAAGGTCATCTTCTCTCTGTCTTCAGTTTCAGAAGGCAAGCTAGCTCCTGTTCTGTAAGATGCCAACTCCTCCTCATTTGCTTATCCTCACTACTTCTGCTTCTTCTAAGGTTATTTCTCACTCTTCTTTCATGATCTTGAACCTCTCCCTCTCTCTTGGTTTCTTTTCTCCAGGCTATAAATATGACCAAGTCCCAACCCTTCTCCTTCTGTTCTAGTCTTTCTCCCTTGTCTTACCAAAGCTGTAGAAAATCCTCTACAAATGCTGCCTTCCTTTCCTTCCTTTCCATTTCTGCTTCAATCAGCACTTCTTCTTCCCAATGTTCAATGGAAATTGCTTTTAATAAGCTCTTCTATTTTTGTAGATTCAGTGGAAAATTTTTCCTCTTTATTTTTTGACATCCTTTATTGAATCAGTGTCCTGTGATTGATTTTTTCCCTCCCTGTGAAAAATTCTATCTCATTGACTTCCAAGGTACCCTAATTTCTTCATTTTTATTTCTGTTCCTTAATTGCTTATGCATTGGCTTTTCTTAACCTCTATCCTACTTACCCTCTTTTCACAATTTTTGATGTTTTAAATTATACCCTATATGTTGATAAGAATCCCAAAGCTAGATTTCTTTCCTTAGCCTAGTGTCTCAAATGTTTTATCTCCAGTTTTCATCCTTTCCTGACTACATAGTATCTCCATTTTGACATACTCTTCTCTCAATACATACAAAACCAAAATCTTGATTTTCCTTTCCAGACTTTTCCTCAGCTGAGACTTGTACCTTTCAGCTGATGATAATTCCAAACCTCAGTAACTAAGCTTTCAAAACTTGATAACATCTTCAATATCTCTCTCTTGCACCCCATAATCCTGCCCATTGTATCATCAAAATATGTTAAGAATCTGATAAGTTTCATAGTCTCCCTTGCTTGTCTTTCATCAATCTCTATCTCTGTGGCCACACACTGTGCTAAAATGCCCCATTCTTCTGATAACTTTCTCCAAAAGACTGAATTCCTAGAAGTTGAGGAGGCAAACCCAAGACCTTATCTTTATCTTTTCTCACACCCCAGGAGGGTAAATAGAAGCAGACATCCTCCTGTCCAGTCAATGATGGAGAAATTGAGGTGAGAATGAAGAGGATACCAGGCTTTTTCTTCTCTTGGAAATTAGGGCCCCCACCAGGAGCAGAAAGCTGAAGAAACTATGCCAGCAACAACCTAGGCTGGACCTACTGAGTTTACTGACCCCAGTTGGGAGAGTTTCCAGCTATGCCAATTCCTTCTTTGCCCCAGAGCTGCTTTTCTCCACCCAGTTGGGGACTTCAGTCAGGCAAGAGAAATTCACTTCCAGAATAACCCAGGAGTCACCTTAGCTCCTCAGAGCCCTTACTGGCAGCCAGGAGGGTGCCCATGTCCCTTTTCCAACCCCAGTCTTTCCTCTTGTTCCTTTATGCTTAGTCGAGGTATGCAGAGAGCAGGGTTCTGGCAACTGTGCTCTCTCCTCTAGATGGACAAAGAGCTGGGCCCCAACTTTCCATTTCCTCCTCGCAGGATTACACATCAAAGGTAGGTCGTGGTCACCAAAGCGCACCAAAGCTCACTCCACCAGGAGGAGGGTGGGCGTGGGTCAGAGTCAGGGAAAGTGTGGGTGGCCAAGCCTGCTTGCTTCTTGAAAGGAAACCCTCAGGGGAGGAAGGGACGAGCAGGGTGCGGGAAATGGACTTGGAGGCGAGAGGTGGCAGCAGTTTCCAGGCGCTTTGACGTAGACTTGAAGAGGGGCCGAGAGCTGCCACTGCTTAAGAAGAGGCGCGGTGGCATTCAGGACTCGGACGCTGGGGACAGTCGCTCGCCAAGGGAGCAGTCGGAGCTCGTCCTCTCCGGCTCTCGAGGGAATACGAGAGCGCAAGGCCGGTGAGTTCGAGGGGCGCCCTGGGGACAGCGAGGCGGGTAAGGTGAGGAGCCCAAGAGCGGGTTCAGGTCTCGCAGTTCCCCGGTGAAGCGGGAAAGCAGGTATGGGACCAGAACGCGCCTGATGCAGCGCGATGCTCGTAACGTGGAGCGCGGAGGAGCCCAGGGGAAAAGAACTCAGAGAAACACCCCTCTAGCTTCAGAGAACCCTTTCCTAAAAGAACCTAAAGGATGAACGTTAGCGCTGTGACCTCAGTCCACCGGGAGCCCCGCACAGCGCCAACTTCAGCACCACGGACAGCGTCCCGCCCTCTGCGTTCTGGAAACTTAGCCCTGACGGCTTATACAAAGGCAGCCTTTGGGGATCTGGACTTTGATATTGTCTGAAAAGAGTACGACAAATATTTTTTCAAATAGAACTGACATGTACACGATATAAAAACATAGAATAGAACACTGTTTTGGAATAATTTGTATCTCGAACCTGCCCTTTCAAAATAGGAATTTGCCTGTTTAAAGAGTTTCTGAAATATTAGTTTGAGGTTGCCTCGATATGTCTTGCTGCTATGCAGAAGAGATTTTATCTACGGTGTCGTCATTCAATATTCTGATATAGAAATATTCCCATACATATTCCTATGGGAATGTGGCCTTCTTGCCTTTATGATATTAACATTTGAAAGCTTGGGAAACATAAACTGGAAGTGAGCTGTGCGTTCCCTTCCTGTTTCTTCTTTATACTGAAGTTTTAAAGTGTAACATACATTTTGTATAGTCTGTAGGTAGTCAGATAAGCTTTTTTTTTCTGGGGAAAATATAACTTGCTTTAAGGACAGAATTTCCCCATTGCTCTTGGCAGAAGTGGTAACATAAGAATCTTTTCAAGGTGACATGTGACTTCTCTGATTCTACTGCAGTACACATTGAGAGCTAGGAAAGTTGAATAAGAGACAAATCATTTTCTTTACAATCCTTGAGATTCATAGCAAGAAGAGAAAAATTAGAAAAATTTTTATTACAGTTATATCAGAATCGAGGATGTTCGTAAAATGTCTATTAACTCCATTCCAATGGGTTGAATATATATTCCTCAGTTCCAAAATATATTTACCCATATTTTTAGAACCTATCTTCTGTTTATTTTTATTATAATAATTTATAATACTTATGTCTCTTTTTTAAAAAATTAAAAGCCACTATAAATAGGAAAGCATACAAGGTTAAAATATAGTCAAGTTTTTAATTTTATAGATATCTTGATTAAGATGGCTAGGTTTAAGATTCTTTTAAAACTATATTCTTTTTGCCAGGGAAAAATTTTTTCAGTTATTAGTCTTGCAAATAAACTTCAGAATAGTTGTTAGCCTAAATATCTTGGTTTTACACTGGTCTGGCAATGAATCACTTTAGAGAAAATTAGGGTTTTAGTATGGGAGCTAGGATAAGATTTTTTCTTATTTAGTGACCATGGTGTGTTTTCTATGCCTGGGCTAAGTTTCTTCAGGGGGTACTTATTTTTTTTCCTGAGTGGAACATAATGAAGGACTGATATATTTCCATCCTGTGAAGTTTCAGGGCCATGGATGATCCTGGAAACAGAAGAAGGATCCATTGCCCCTTCAGCCTCACCTGCTCTCTGCTCATTTTGGGAACATGCTGTGTGTCTCCTTTCTTCTGTCATAGCCAGGTAGATCTGCTGGCTCTTGACCAAGCTGATCCTCAGTGCTGGGAATCCTCCTCAGTACTTCTCCTGGAAATGCAACAGCCTCGCATTTCCAACACTGTTTCAGGCTTCTGGAATTTTATGATTTACCTAAAGTCATCTGAGAACTTGAAGCATGGGGCCCTGTTTTGGGATCTGGCTCAGCTCTTCTGGGACATCTATGTGGACTGTGTTCTCTCAAGAAACCATGGCTTAGGAAGAAGGCAACTGGCTGGAGAGGGAGAAAAAGTCTCATCAGCTCAGCCACAGCATGCAGGGAGTAAAAAAGGTGCTTAACACAAGTTCTCACTTCTTTGAAAGGGGTCAATCACGTACAAACATGCTGTGTAAGAGGAAAAGGACATGGCTTCAGGGAAACCCAATATCTCATATCTTTCTCTCAAAGGATGAACCTAAGAACACACAAGTGATAGTAAAGATAGATAGTACATCATAGTGGCTACTGAAATCATTTGCATTTCATAACAGCTATTTACATCAATATACTGTTCTCATTCTCATAAGTCACGTCAAGAGCAGCAAGGAAAAGTCTGGGGTAAAAAGGGGAAAGAATGATTTCCAAATATGATATAAAGGCATTCTCTTGATCAACACACTTGAACATTCACAGTCATAACTTGGTGTTCACCTGCTGTGGAATTGGGCGGACTTCAATATAAGCCTAGGAAATATTTGCAGCACACAAAAAGTGTTTTTATGTTGAAAAAGCATTGCTTTTGTACCAGTGGAGGGGCTCTGTGAAAGATACTTAGTTGATGAAGTAAAGAGTGAAAAAATCCACTGACATCATCTTTACTCTGTTGCTTTTTGAAGTAATTAACTTTCGGACACTAAGTTTTAGTAAGTTGGAACTTCGTAAACATTTACAAGTTATCATTGAAGTAAATACTGTAACCAAATATAGTCTTCTCTAGGGGTATAAAAGAAATATCCTCTATAAAATTAGACTGAGGTCCAGCAAACCCTTGTAAGTAACAGAGATTCCTGACTTGTATTCATATTGTTTTTGTTCCTTTTTTGGGTATCATTTTAACCAATGAGATTCTAAACTTTGTAGCAAGTGCTGTTTAGGTGGCAGTAACTCTTCAGAATTATTTACATACCACTGGACATAATTAATTTTTACATATTCCTATAATTGCTCTATTAAAATAGCAACAGTAATAGCTCTAGCACTGTCCTTTTTTTAGATTGCGCAGTGCTTATACACAAGAGATGACTGAAAAATACAGTGAATAAATTTTTTAAAAGTCATTACAGTAAAAGATGCATTGCCATTCATTCCCCTTAAAAATACTTCTTCTTCCTTTGTATAGATGTAGGCCATCATTCTTGCCATTCTGTGAAGCAGTTTGGGAAGTTTTCTTTCATGAGTGTTTTTATAAGGTGTGATAAAAAAAAAAAGTGCAGTGAATGCTGCTGCCGAGTGCCAACCAAAGGAAAAGCAAACCTGTAAAATCTTTATGTGTCCTTGTCTACCTTATTTACTGGAGCTGGTGCTGTGCAACATCTGGCTCTTCCCCAAAGTCAAAAGGACTATAAAAGATTAACACTATGAATTGAAGCAGGACCTCAAGGCCACTATGACAGCTCTATTGAAGATGCAAAAGAGAACTTCCAGAACTACTTCAAAAGGTGGCAAGGATGGTGGGATAAATGCATTCCAAGCAAGGGGGGAGTATTTTGTGAGGGATTAATGACAATGCTTCTTTTATTGTAATTTAAAAAAATTTAAACACACAGTAGTTTTAGATAACACCTTGTATATATAATTTGCATCAGCCTCAGCAACTATCCTCATGATTTGCTGGCCCACAAAACTAGACAATTCACCACTACTATTTATAGGTAAATTTATTATTTTGGTAGGTATAATTGTAATATACACTGACTTCATATTTTATTTTATTTTTTTATTTTTTATTTTTTGGCACTGGGGATCGAACTCGGGTCCTTGTGCTTGTGCAGCAGGCGGCGAAACCACTGAGCTAAATCCCTGGCCCTAACTTCATATTTTAGAGAAAATTTTATCTAAATAGCTTTGGTACTGAAGTAGAAATACAGAATGAATATCTTTAAATTTTGGTTACCAGTATTTTAAAAACAGTTTGAATAGAGGTTTTCTGGGGAGCAACATTAGTAAGGACCATATATTTTCTTCTGTACTGCTGATGGTGGTTTATAGGGCTTTTTCTTCCACTCTTGACACATTTAGCTGTTGAACTCAAATCATCACCAATTTTTTTTATCTTGTGCTCACTCTGAGTACCTCAGAAAAATGTCTAGAGACTAAATGAAAAATATTGTTTGTGTTCAGCTGAACATGAAAATAATATAATAACATTTCTTTGAATAGCTTTGGCTTTGGAAGCCGCTTCCTACTACTCACTACCCAGTTGCCGCTTTCTCAGCCAATCTCAAACTTTAGCGAGAATTGCTCTGCAAGTATCCAAGTGGTAGAAGTGAATATTTCACTTTATTGAAGTTATTTTAATGCTTAGTACAAACAATTGTTTGCAGATTAGGAAACAAGACTTTCTGTGTGGTTAGTATCATCACAAAGAGTTTCTTGGGTCAAAGAAACCCAAAGAGATGGATGTCCAAAGATTAACTAGTTACAGAACATTGAGATTTCCCTTCAAGAGGCTCAATTAAATTTCTAGTGGCTCTGCTGGGCTCTAGATGTACCTGTATGGAGTGTCAATAATTTTTTTTTCTTTTGTCTCTGGGGGATATTGTGTTACCAGATTGGGTTAAGGTGAGGGTGAAGAGGTATTTGTCCCTATAGTTCTTGGGGGAAATTGTATCATCAGGACAGAAAGGAAGAAAAACTAAAATAAGTGTCTGTGTGTATACCAAAAGGTTCTTACTGCTTTGTTATCTTTAAATCAAATATTTTAAATTTACTTACAAAAATCTTACTATGAGTCATGCTTTGTTAAAACACATAACTTGTAATTTTGTATGTGACTATATCATATTTGAATATGCATCAACAAATATGAGAACAAGAGATATCAAATAGTCATGTAATCTTGGGCAAATTAATTTGTGTATTTAGTTTTCATCTGAAAAGAAAGAATATGGAAAAGCTTAGTTGACCTATACAGTCCTTCATGTTCTCTCTTCTAATGTTCTGTGTTTCGGTAAAAAGAGGAATGTATGAAAGGTATATAACTCTAGATAGAATCTGAAAGAACTTTACTCCAAAGATAGCTAGGTGGTACATTGGACATCATGGTTGTTTTTACAACGAAAAGCAGGAACCGAGTTAGTCAGGAAATGAGAATTCCAAAAATTTTAAGGGCTGGAGATGATATTATGAGAAAAAAAACACTCTAAAGATTATTGTTGTTTAGTCTAGGAAGGCATTCACTTATAGCCTTCTAGCTGAATATTAAAGTATCTGAAGGAAGGTGTAAAGACAAAGTTCCCATACTTAATCACTAAATTCTGATGCATTATTGAGAGGAGAGAGAGAGAGAGAGAGGGAGAGAGACCTAAAGAAAAAACAATAGGGTTCAGAGTTTAGGTTAACTCATAGGCTAGTAGAGGCTTCTCTGCAAACAAAGACACTTTAAAGTACAACTTGGCTTGTGTAAAAAATGATAGCTTCTTTGCTTTGACACTAAGGACAGAAAAATCTGCCTTACTGGGCCTGACAGTTTGTATGTTTTAGAAAATTCATGAGTCTTTTCTCTGTGATGAGAAAATTATAATTTAGATTTAATTTAGATTAATTTAATTTAGATTATTAATTAATTTAATTTATAATTCAGATTATAATTTATAATCTGATGATGTTTGCTGTTGGTATCTAATTAGCTGCTTATTTTTTAATAAGTTGACTCACAAATGCTTGATTTTCTGCTTTATTCTAATACATTTCCTAAGCAATATAATCAGCAATTACCCATCTAGAAATTTGTTCTAAGCAAGCATTCAGAGGTGCAGCCAATGAGTACTATAAAACAGTTCACTGTAATTTCATTTACAGTAATGAAAAACCTAGAAATAATTTAAATGCCCCACAGTAGGTAATGGTTAAATAAATCATGGTATGAAGTATGTGAATAATATTAAGGTTATCTCTGGAAGACTATATTATGGGACTTTTGAAATGTTTTCTTTATATTTTGATATTAAAAATGATATGACAACTATTTTAACTTTTTAAGTAAGAAATATTTTAATGCATATTGACAAAGGAATATCTTTATTATAATTTATGTAATTTAGATTATATAACTAGATTGCGTAGGGCACAAAATTTTTCATGAATACAAATTCTCATACATAATCCTACAATATATTTATAGAACTTTTGATAGTGGAGGGCAGAAACAGCAATTTTTCTTTTTAAAAAGTTTACTGATATTTAATTAATCTGAAAATGGTCTTATGAAATTCCTTTTCTCTACTTTCAGGTGCATATTCTCAGCTCCTAAGAACCCCGTTCCTAAAGAAGAAAGAGTTGATTGAAGATTTGATAAGCATGCATGTACGCAGGAGTGGGTCTAGGTTCATTGGAAAAGTGAACCTGGAAATAAAGAGAAAATAAATTTGACTTCTGAAGTAACTCATGCCTTGGAATTAAACATATGCATATAATATTATAGGCACATAAATATTTTTTTCTTAACTATTGATATTTACTTATTTACTTTAAATGGTGGACATGTCCAGGGATAAATATTAAGCCAAATTCTCAAAGAAAACTTATTTAAAGCTTCATTTTTTTAGGCAACCAGCATGTTCTTTCCAATGGTGTCTGCTGCTAGAACATCCCACTGTCTAAATGAGTTAAGTAACTTCTGAAGATGACTTGGGGATTGGAAGACCCCAACTCTTGATATTCATTTGATTATATCTGGAAATCTTGACATCATTAATGAACCAGAGGACAATGGATTTAATTCACTGAAAATTCTGCATGAATTTCAAGCTATTAACCATTAGATTGCTTATGCAGTAGCATATAAGGGGCTATATATAAATTAATACCTGTTACTGATAACCTGTGAAGCTAAATCTTGTTTGAGAGAATATTTTTTGAATATTGAATAAAGCAACAAATAAAACAAAATAAAAATCTGGGGAATAACATATTCATTTAAAGGATATAAAATTAATAAAATTTCTGGACCCCAAATAATGTTATTGGAGTTTCTTTATTTCAATATTTAATGTTACCATTAATGATGTCCAAACTCTAATAAAGTAGCATAAGTATAAATTATCTCCCAATTATACTTTTGTTTTTTGATTAAATATTAAAACTCTATATTAGTTATATCTTGCATTGAAAAGCAAAATAAAATTAAAATGAAAAACATTATAAGAGAAGAACCTATAAATATTTTTTTCCCTGAAAAATGACCAGGCCTGAATGAGAGCCATAGCAGTGACATTCAATTAGCAAATTTATTTGAACTCCAGACACAATGTTATTTTTATCTCTAATTATTCCCATGTCTGTAATCATTCTCCTATAACAATGATTGACAGCCAGTTTGGACTTCAGAAATGTTAGCAATTTTCTTGCTTCTTACAGGTTAAAAAAAAAGCCTCAGTAAACATTTCACTGAAGATTTGGGGTCCTCCTGAAGGAAGAAATCTTACCTAAAGAGTTCTTGTGAGAAGACAGTTTCACCTTTACCACAGGTGAAGAAAGCCTGGAAAAAGAGCTGGGAGAGGAGACCTAACTGCCATCCTTTGGCTACCTTTTCTACATAACTCATGGCTTTTCTTTAATGCTATTTTCCCTGATAATCTTTCATCATACTCTTCAAAACCATCTGACGAACTCATTACCTATCATACATCACTGAGAAGACACCACACATGGAGAATAGAGCCTGCTCTTTGTTCGTCCAAAGGAGCTGGCAGTGTTTCTGCCAAGGATTGGGTATAAATGTAATCACGCTGGGTTTGTGGGCTCCTGTCTCTGCCGCAACTTATTCTGTCAGCTTTGGTAGAACAAATAAGTCATAAAAATATATACATCCAAAGTTATGGTTGGGTTTCAATAAAACTTATGGATGTTGAATTTTGAATGCATACAATTTTCAAGTGTCACAAAATAGCCTTTTTGACTATTAAAAAATGTAACAACCACTCTTAACTCATGCCTTACAGAACAAGCAGTGGGGAAGATTTGGCCCACATGATTATAGTTTGCAGACCCATGCTCTAAGGCATGCTTATCAAACTTACAGAATACTCTGGCACGAAGTAAGAAGGAGAGTGAATATATTAAATGGGAAAAACAAAATAAAAAAACAAATTTAAAAATATCACAATAAGATTAATCAGGGATAACCTAGTCCTAATCCTAGCCAAAAGGACATTATTTTACTTTGTAAATAGTATAGGAATTAAAGATTATTTAAATAAAAATCAACAACTCAAAATGGAGAAATCAACAATATTATTGATAAAAATTACAAAGTAGTGATTATAGGCCCCAGAGCTAGGTTTGAATCCCAACTTTAAATTCAAACCAAATGATTTTAAATGAGTTGCTAAACCTCTTTGTGCCTCACTTTTCTTTTAAAACAAAATACCTACTTTGTAGCTCTGTTGCGAGAATGGAACAAGTTAGTACATATAAGGTGCTTAAAACTAAATGTTCTAATAGTCAAAAAGTGTTAGCTAATACTTTGAACATCAGTTGTGCATCTATAACATGATTCAACATACAAAGAAAGGACACACAGAGGTGTTTGGTGAATTTAGTGAAATTCATTAGATGTGAAGTTTTAGAGAAAAATATTGACAAGTTTAAAAATTTTTTGAGGTACTTATTATAAGAGGTAATACATATAGGCACATTTGCATACCCTTTATCCAATTTTCCCCAACAAGAACATTCTCCATAACTATAATACAAAACTGAAAACGAAGAAACTGACATCAGTGCAATCCAGATTTCATCAGTTCTACATAAACTCTTTGTGTGTGCATGAATGCATGCACATATGTGTTAATGTGTGCACATATGTTGACATGTATTTAGTTCAATGCCAAGTTTATTCTCCAGCCAAAGCATCCAGATATAAAATTAGATCATCAACTCAGTAATTTAAATGATGCCTAAAGAAGATTGTGCATTCATGAAGATCACACACTTGAATATTACTACCAAAATGTTCGAAGAGAGAACAAGATTCCTCTGACACCTGGAATGGACTGTGCTGGTCCTCTACCCCTCACCCTTGAGGCTGTACTCTGAAGAACTAAGACACCTAAGGAAGAAAGTTTAAAAAAAGAAACTTCATAATTCACATCAATGTGGGGGCAGGGAGAGGGAGAGGTAGGAGGCTTAGTTTTTTTAATTCAGATTTTGAAAGTGCATTTATCACCATACCAAGGGGCTTTCAGCCTGGACTCCTTTTCACTTCAAGTTGGGCAAAGTGATTTGATCCACAAGGGCAGAGAAAGCCCTGCACACCTGTTCAGCTCCACCATACAGATCCATGTTCACTGAAGACTGGGGATCTGCAATCAACAAATGGAAGACCATTTCAGAGAAGAGCACTTGTAGGTTCTCAGGTTGATCTGGACAAATGTGTTGCACAAAGAACTCTTCTTTAGTAAAAGCAGTAAACAAATATATGAAAAAGTGTTCAACATCACTGGTCATTCAAGAGATGCAGATGAAAACAACACTGAGATTTCACCTAACTCCAGAAAGAATGGCTGCTATTATGAAATCAACCAATAACAAATGCTGGTGTGGTTGTGGGGAGAGAGGAACCCTTCTCCATTGCTGGTGGGAGTGTAGACTGGTGCAACCACTGAGGAAATCAATATGGAGATACCTCAAAGAACTAGGACTAGAGGTCCCATTTGACCCAGCTATTCCCCTGCTGGGGATCTTCCCAAAAGAATTAAAAGAATCATACCACAGCGATATATGTGCACCCATGTTCATAGTGGCACAGTGTGTAATAGCTAAAGCTTGGAAACAGCCCAAGTGCCCATCAATTGGAAACTGGATAAAGAAGATGTGGTTTTTTTAATTAAATGGAGTACTACTCAGCCATAAAGAATGAAAACCTAGAGTCATTTATAGCTAAATGGATGCATATAGAGGCCATACTCTTAAGTGAAATAAATAGGAAACACATGTATAAATACCTAATAGTTTCACTAGTGTGAGAAACTGATAGTGTAAATAAGGGTTAAAATGATTAAAATGAGTAATTGATAATTTGAAATAGGAAAAAAGGTCCAAAGATGAAGGGGTGAAGGGAGGGGAAGGGGAAAGGAAAAACTATGAGAAAAGAAAAAAAATTAAAATGGAAATGATGTGTGTGTAAATAGGGAAGGGAGGGGGGGTGAAGGGCACACAGGTAATGGGGAAAAAATAAGAACCAAGACATATCATCTACAAGTACAAATACCCAATGATAAATGTAAATGAATTGTATACCTAAAATGTACCAATAAAAGAACTTAGAAAAAAAAAAAGAACTCTTCTTTCCTCAGTTCCCAAGAACATTGTCCTTCCTCTAAGCTAGCTGGTAAAATAAGACGGCTAGTATTTACCACGATCAATGTTACTATTACAGGTTAGATCTAAAGTGTTCCCTAGAAGTCTGTTGCGTTTGGAAAGTGATTGGATCACATGGGCACTGTACTCATCAGTTCATAGATGATTGTGCAGTTAGAAGGTCAGGCCTGGTGGGAAGAGGTAGGTTACTGGGCATGTGACCAGGGAGGGTGTATCTTGTTCCTAGCTCCTCCCTTTTCTCTGCTTTCTGGTTGCTATGGCATAAGCAGCTATCCTCAGCCAGGCTGTTCCACTCTGTCATTTCTGCCTTGAAGCCAGCTAACCATGATCTAAACCCATTGGAAATTGTTTATAGATTCTTTCTTCTGGTTGATTCTAGTTTGTTGTTGAATCTTTTTATTGACATTTTCATTTCAATTGTATTTTTGGCTCTAAGTTTTATGTTTGGTTCTATTAAACGTTTTCTGTTTGTTGAAATTCTCTTTTTTTTTTTTTTCAGGCATTATTCTCCTGACTTCATTGAGAATTTTTATGATAGTTATTTTAAATTCTCTGTCAGGTAATTCATATGCCAGTTTTCCACAAGGGTCCATTTCTGGATCCCTCTCTTATTCGTTTGTTTGGACCCTGTGTCCTTGCTTCATTTTTCTTTACTCTTTGTGCTGGTCTATACATAGTAGGAAAAAATAGCTGCCTCTCTTCATCTTCGCACATTCTCCTACATGTGCTTTATGTCTTGCCATACAGAAAAAGAGCCTCAGTCTGGTCAGATATTTTGAGAGCCTCTCAAGCTTCATGTTATCCCTTCTGTCATTGTTCTTTGTAGCCTTAGGCATCTGAAGTATGATGTGTCCTGTCAGTAGTCCGAGGCGGTAGGCACAAGCCAGTGTCTTGGACAGACCTCTGAAGAGTTGAATTGTGGATACATAGTCCATCTGTTTCCTTCCGGGTTAGATGGAATTTGGGGTTTATTCCTATGCATGCTTTGCGCAATCCTGGGGGGAGGAGCTATGGCCAGTGCTTTCATGCTAGTCCAATCCACCATCTTTGCTCTCATGCCGTGCTGTCCTAATCCTGCCACCCTCCTCCCATCTTCCTTTCTCATCACTGAAACATGCCTTGGCAAGTGGATACCAAAAAGGAAATGGAGAATGTTGCAGTGAGTGACCGCGGGCGGCCTAGAGGATGAAAAAGATTACTTGGAGACGAGACTTAGTTCAATCCACAGAGAGGCCCACAGGGACTATTAAAAAAACCCTGATGCCAAGAACTCTCTGGCTTTTATTCAGAATATCAGTGTAAGAGAAAAAAGCAGGAGAAAAAGTAGTTTGGGCAGGAGATGTCTCTAGGCTAGGCAATTTTTCTCGGGGAAAGGGAAAGGACAATGGCCAGATGCAACATGCTATCCTTAACTAAACTTCTTGTTGAACTACTGGATTCTCACACAGCCTATGTGCTTTTGTCCTGCAGTTTAATCATTCACTCTTCACAGACCCTGTGTGCTTTTCTCCCCACAGTTTAATTATTTGTGTGCTTAGGCCCCCTATTTTAACTGTTCACTCCTCAGAGCCTATGTGCTTTTGTCCCACAGTTTAATCATTCAGTTTAATCATTTACTTCTGGCCAGGTCCCCCACAGGAGAAAAGCTGAGAAAAATAATTTAGGAGACAAACATAGGAAATGTCACTCTCAAATGGAAAGTGAACAATTGATTAGGACAGAAAAATTGGAGGAATTTGTCTTTAACACAGGAGCAAAGATTTTTTTACTACAAGTTTTAACCAAATTGTTTGATATTGATTTTCAGCCCAACATTTAGAATTGAAAGAGTTTTAGGGAACTCCTTATATACATAACTTTCTCTTTTCCATTAAGCTCTCATAGTCTCTTGAAATTCCATTATCTTAGATCTTGATGCTGACTAACTCTATTCAATTGATGTCAAGAACTGCCCAAAAATGATAATCAGGTTTGCTGTTTTAATACAATTAAGCCTTTAGTAACATAAAGGTCATCTTAATTTCCAAAATGTGGAGGCGTCTTAGCAAAACACAATCCAAAAGGACAGTCAACTCCTAGGATAATCATCATACTGGGCTGATAATATTGACACTCTTGTCTGACTAAATCTTAACATATTACAAACAACAGATATTTCTAATTTTCCCAACAATCCTGAAATATAAAAAATTCTAGAACAGTAAAGTGGTCAGAAACTTCCTGTTGTTATCTAACACTTCTGCAATAGAGACAGAAGTAAACAAAAATAATAAATCTTATTTTAGCTTCCATATCTTCATCAGATTGGTCATGATACTTCTGGCTATGACTAAGTCTGGTGTATTTTGGTAAGCATGTATAGATCATGTATAAATTATGGAATATATATAGATATATTTTCTTTTTTGGTAACGGGGCTCAAACTTGGGTCCTTGAGCCTGTGCAGCAGGCGGTGAAACCACTGAGCCAAATCCCTGGCCCCTGGAATATATTTTTATAATCTATGTTGCCAATGGCTAAGTGGAGTTTGAAAATGGGATCATCAATACAAAATTGAAAAGGGAACCTGAATTTAATTAGAAATATTTAAATGACGAGTGATAGAGGATGAAAACAGCAGCCATGAAGGTTAACTTAAATTCTTAGGTCTTATGATTAAAGGCCTAAAATAAAGAAGGATGACATAAAAGAAATAATACTGTAAAATTTAAATCTTATTGCAAAATAAAGATTGCTTTAATAACAAAAAGAGATGGATATCTTCTTGCTAATATCAGAAGCATGTTTATATAATAATGCATATTAAAGGACCTCAGTGATTCTATTGAGATTGCAAATGGAAACAGGTGAATTTTTGAAGGATATTTTAAAAAATTGTACAAGACAAAAAAATTGTACAAGACAAAGTAATACCACTAGCCTATTTAATGTATATTATTCACTATAATTTTCTAAATTCACATCATCTGAATTTAGACATACACTTTCCTCTGTTATGATTTTTCTCTTAATGGTATAGTGATTTATGTATAGATGGATACAGATATATTCATATACACTGAACTTGATAAATCACTTAAAATATGCATGAATCTTTTACCTTTAGGATTAAACTGGACAAATGTTGTGATATTGTCTTCCAAATAGGAGTAATAGATTCAATTTATTAGGAACCTGAAATATATATTATTATGACTACATTTATGAGGGTTGGCCCAACACAGTTTGAGAAATTAGAAGCTTTCATCAAGTCATTTGCAAACACAAACAAAAAAATAAAAGTAAGGTAAAGTTGTCAAAGACTAAAAAACTTTCCCATAATGCCCACTTTTTAAGTGAAATTTTCCTTAAAAAGTCAAGTGGATATTGACTTAGCTTTGAATACTCATCAAGGTCCCAAGGAGGTTTAGATGGAAATACAGTGGGTGAAATTTTATATTAGTTTAAGAATCAGGAACAAGGAGCTCTCATCCTCTGTCTCCAGCCATTTGAGTGTGCTTCTAGCATCTCTGTGAACTTGTTTCTTCTAATATTGAGATTATAACTCCAATTTCATTTACTGTAGAGCTTTTTGGAATCACTAAATAAACTATTTCATTGATTTGGTTCTAGTAAGTTCTATAAAACTGACATTATTATGCGCCCAATATATAGTTCTCCAGTTGTCACGTGTAGGGAACAGGGAAAGGGGACATTACTGGAACCTCTGCAGTAAGTCCTAGTCTCCTGCGAGCCATGGCAGCACAAGGCAAATTACAGGAAAGGTAGAAAAATGAGACTTTGAGAAGAAGCTGAGCTTTGGGTCTGATCAGTGCTGCTCTGGGCAGCAAAAATGAAAATCCCCAGTTTACCCCTTTTATTCAGTATATCGGGAGAAACAAATGTAACCAATGACTTGCAGAGAGTTCAGTACATCCGCCTGAACAAGATGTAACAATCCAAGAACAATGAGGAACTGAGTAGATGAAGATTTTGTTCCTCCCAGGATGTCTTTAGCTGATGTAATCTTGTCCTGGAGAATCACAGCATCACCGGATCAGGATCATTGAGGTCCCAAGTTGTGACCCGAGGCCAGCGGAGGCCAAAATGGAATTATGTCTCGGAATTCCATGGCTGGTCTGTAGGCAGGAGAACTAGGCTAACCAAATGATTTTTCCCTAAAATCATGTAGCATTGCTCCCAACAGTCATGGTCTGAATTGTGTCGCCCTTAATCCGTACATTGATGTCTTAGCCTCTGAATGTGGCTGTATTTGGAGTTAATATTTTTAAAGAGATAACTAACTTAAATTGCGTTTATTAGGATGGGCACTATTTCAAAGAAGAACACACGTGGACAAAGACATACACAGAAAGAAGACCTTATAAAGACAGGTAGAATGTAGGCATCAACAAGTCCCCCTCCTCGACCTTCCCTTCCCTCCTATTCCTCTTCCTCCTTTTTTGTGGGCATTGAGTTTAGGCCACTCAGTCTATGGTACTTTTTAATGGCAGTCCTGGAAAGATAAATAAAACAACTCAGAAATATTTTCAGGCCTCTTCTGAGAATGCAGACACACAAGAGAATGTTATTCTTCACTCTATCACAGATATCTAAATAACTCACAAGTCTCCAAAATAAATAATTTTTAATTTTTTCAAAAGGATATAGATATATTCTAGCTAGAGTAAGACAATGTCACTCCACAACATTAGAAACAACTATAGTAAAGGATGTTTAAAAAGCCCTTATGAATTCAGTGAGAGCAGCATTATTGTCCCTACTTTTAAATGGTGACATTGGGCTGCCCAGTTATATATGATTTAAGGTTACTGAAAAATAATAATTGCAATACTAAGTATTTACATAATAATTAATATGTGCCACATACTAAATGAAAGATTTGCATGATTTATCATCTTTAATGCTCACAATAATTCTTTATTTAGGTCAATATTGGAAATCAAGTTCAGAGATGCTACTGATATCCCAGATTCAGAACTCTGCTCTACTCTAAACAATAGCCATTGGGCTAATGTTACAAAAGAGGTTTTTAAAAGGCAGCCCAAATTCCTGGCCATCACTGTCTGTCCTGACTGAAAACCTTACCTGACGGCACTTCTAGATTGAATCCATCCATGAGTTTTGACAATAGTTCTTGCAGTTCCTCTTCTTCCAGCTAATCCTTTCTTTCTGCGATGTTAACTATCTCTTTCCTTCCCATGGATGCCTGAGCAGTGCTGGTCATTTCAAAAGGAGAAATTTGGGACTTGTCCTGCAGTAGTCCCTGCTGACAACTGGGCAGGGAGCTGAGGATTTTCTTTGGTATCTTTTGTGAGTGGCTTTGTGCACTGGTAGTTTGCAGCATGGTTACTGGTGATTCTGAATCTGGTGGCGCATGCTCTGCATTTACTTGGCTTCTGTCAACCAGAGCAGGGTTAGGAAGAGGTTTACATCCTCAGATGATCCTCTGACATTCTTGATCCGAGAAGAATCTCCTTCCTTCCAAAACTTATCAGCTGAAGAATGATCAACCTTGGACACCATATGCTGACAGGAAGATGAGGGATGGAGTGGCTGCAACATTGCCTGGGTAAAGAAAATCTTGTTAATAAAAAACTAATATTTACCTTTTCACAAATGCATTAAATTTTAATATTCCAACAAGTGATGCTAATGTGACATGTTTCCTTTTCCTCTAAATATATTATTCATTTTATTTTATGTGGTTAATTCAGTATCAATCTAAAACTCTCTAAAGGATTGGAACACTTCATGTTGTAAAATATCATAGGGTATAATCACAAGAAAATTGGAAAAAATTCTAAGTTCTAAAAAGCCCAGGTTCTAAAAATATTCTAAGGAATTTCTGAAAACATAAGCATACATTGGATGATAGACAAAAATGATCACAATAAAATGTTCATAACAATTGGTCTGGCAGGTGTATTATAAGAGGTTTTATAAAAGCCAGAAGTATAAAATCTAGGATGTGGTCCATGTTAAGCCCAGTTCTCAGAGTTTGATCCCCAGCCCTGGGAATTCCTGAGACTCCTTTAGGGATTGGTGAAATAAAATTATTTGCATAGTGATTCATTTGATATTTTTGACTGTTTAGTGCATTGACATTTGCAACGGTGGTACAAAACCAACAATGAGGATGGCTATGGGTGCCTTAGGAAGGGTCAAGGCAGCGCCAGCACACCATCATACATTACCAAGTTAGAAAAAGGCAGTTCCACTTAAGGATATCTTTGATGGAATAGCAAAAGTTCTGAATTTTCTTAAGAATAAACCATGCCTTTTAAATATTGTGTGTAATGAAAAGGGATGCGTGCATAAAACACTTTGGATGCATACTGCAGCTCAGACATTGCCTCCTGTGCCAAAGGAAGACTGATAGATTATGATTATTCATACTTGGGCATCTGGCAAATATTTTCTGAAAACTGAATAAATCAAGAATGTCACTGCAAGGAAAACAATGAACTGCATTTGTTGTCAATTATAACACTTCAGCTTTCAAGCAAAAATTAGAATTTTGGAAAACTTGAATCTACCTCCAGGAGCTTGATAGCTTTCCAATTCTTGAACACTTTTCTGATGAAATTAATGTGACATTAATGAATGTGAATTTCTTTGTATCTGTGTAATGAAATAAGGGAGCCTTAGGAAGTGCAGCACAGTTCAGTGAAACAATATTTTCCAAATGACTAATGTATGTTGTTTAATAAAAATCATGCATAGGTGAATCCATTTAAAAAGCATATTAGACGAGTTCGATCCCCGGTACCACCCCCCCCCAAAATAAAAAGCATATTAGAAAACTGCATTTTAATGAAACAGATATGGTTTCATATTCTATATCACAACTATCCTTTAAGGAATTATTTTTTATTATGTTTTGATGTGGCATCAAAGACAAGTATCCCCAGTTATCTGAAAGACTTTGAAAATACACTTTTTTTTAACTGCAAATCTATATGGGCCCCTATTTCATATCCTTCAACCAAAAAATCTTACAATAGATTGATTACTAAAGCAATCTGTCAATTCAGTGATCTTTTATTAAGCCACATATTAAAGAGATTTATAAAAAATGTAAAATAATGTCACCTAGAGTTTAAAAAATGTACTTATTGTTTTAAAATATTACATGTATGATGAGTTTATTTTTATTTTTCAATTAGTTAATGAGTATATTTTAAACGCTTGGCCATTTTAATTTTGAGCATGGTAAATAGCAACAGATATAACCCACAGAAACAAAAGCACCTTGGGGTCCCCTCAAATTTTTAAAAATGTATAAAGAATCCTGGGCCCAAGAGGTTTAAGAACCAGTGCTGTACGAACTGCTTTGACCCAGATCTGTTGCTTCTAAATGGTATGGATTCTGTTGTCTTTCAATATTCCTGCTTTCAGGAAGGGGAAGGTCATAGTGCAGAGGGTGGAGGTGGGGAAAGGTCTGAGTATGGAGAGGAAGGGACATGGAAAGAGGGCTGATTAAGTGAGGCACGAGGCTTTGGACTGTAGCCCACGTTGGCTGGAGGACTTGAGGTTAGACTTCCAAGCGATCTATAGACCCACCATCTCCCACATTATACACGTGTATGTCCTGTTGCATTTGCTGTAGCTTGGACCATAGACTATCCTGGTTGCTTCTGAGTTCCTGAATCTTTGTTTCAGATCTGCAACTTATTTCTTCCTGGGAGATGTATATTGCTCCCAACTTGTCTTTGTATCGGTTTAATTGCTTTTTAAGGACCCTGAAAAGAGAAGAAATTTGGGTGGTTTGGAAGGGCAAGAGGCCAGCACCCTGCCTGGACCTTGGCAAGATGTAAGCAGGTTCTTGATTATTGTCTAACATGGATCAGTTCTGTTCTGTTTCTTCACCATGTCCAGATGCCCTTTGGGTCCATTATCTGTGCAATTTCACTATAGATTTTATTGGCACATTTTGAATTACTTTTGATAATGTACTTCCACCAGCTACCCAAATTTTAATATTGACTTTATCCATCATTCTTTTGTCTAGAAGCACTTCACTCAGAAGGACGACTCAGCCTGCATGGCTAAACACCAAACACTAGCCCAGACCACAGGGCAGGAACAAGGATACAGTTCATGAGCTGTGGGTCTGTTTTGGTTTCCCTTCCTGTCTCAACTCATGAACTGCTTTAAGAATGAACCAAGCAATCATGTTCCTCCTCTGCTCAAAACCTCCAGTGGCCCCTCCTCCTCTTTTAGAGCAAACTGAAGCAGGTCCAGAGGCAGGCAAGCTCAGCAGGTAGCCAAGCCTTCTTCCCTATCTGCTCTCATCTGCTTTTCTTGCTCACTCACTGCCCTTCAGCCACAGAGCTCTTGGTTATTCGTCCTCCCTTCCCCGAGTCTCCCTTGACTCACTTCCTCACATCTTCAAGTCCTTGCTAAAACGTTTACATTTTCAGTGAGGACTTCCTGACCCCCTACAAAGAATTACAAACCGGAACCCCAGCCTTTCTCTGACACTCCCGTCGCCTTGCTTTCTTGTTTTGTCTCTATGGCTCTTCATCCTGTCTAGTAGCTAGGCGCTTGAAGGGATCTTAGATTTTGTCACGGGCTCCAGCCTTTAATCTTCTGGACAGTCACAAGCTATGACATACTGCATATTGTACTCATTATTTTACTTACGTATTACTCAGTTTCTATTTTGCTTACTGTCTCTTGATTCTAGCAAAATTTTTTTTATTTTGTTTATTATCATGTCTTCAGGGTTGGCCTAAAATAGTCCTTGTCACATAATTGGTATACAACTTAAAATGTCTGAATATAGTCTTTATTCTTTGATCCATGCTATAGCATTTTTATAGAATTTATGTAAATAGGTGTTTCTCATGTGAAATGCAACATTTCTCAATGTTAACACTTTTGAATTTCTCAATTTCTACAGTGCTCGGAGAGGTCTTGGAATGTAGTTGGGGCTCCTATCCGAAGCAGGGTCTTTGAAAGATAGTCCTCAAACTTCCAGTCACTCAGGTGAAGCAAGAATCCGATGCTAACATATTTAATTATAATTGTAGTGTTGAATGTGTACATGTGATGGGTTTTACAGAAAGAGTCAGCCCAAGGGTTTTATATAACTGACAACAAGTAAATGTCCTCATGTGTGTCTACTGACAGTGCTCTCTGTACCTAAAATGCTATGCTTGCTTTGACCACTAACAATGACAGTCTCTCTTTCTTCCTTGTTGTCTACCACCCACATCCTTTCGTCTCTGGCCAGTCCACCACTATTGAACTGCTAAGAAGACATGTCTTCTGCATTCCAGGATAAAGTAGGTAGAGTCCTATCAGAAATCCGATCCTTTCTTACTCTGATTTTTTTTTTTTTTTTTTACAAAAGAGAAAAATGTTTATTGAGGAAACAGTTTAACAGGTGTCCTTCAGCAGAATTTTACAGATTAGACTGTACAATAATTTTACTGAAAACAATTACAATTTCAGTCATTAACACAGTATACAGGGTGCTTAATCTAGAGCTAGTAAGTTGCCGAAGTTTGTGACATGCCACTGTAAGTGTAGGTATTATTATTTTTTTTTGAGGGGGGATACCAGGGATCAAACTCGGGTCCTTGTGCTTGCGAGGCAGGCGGTGGAACCACTGAGCTGAGCTAAATCCCTGGCCCTGTAATTTTTAATAATACCTACATTTGGGCCGGGGATTTAGCTCAGTGGTTCCGCCGCCTGCCTCACAAGCACAAGGACCCGAGTTTGATTCCCGGTACCCCCCCCCATTACAAATTGTTTGGTGACTATTTTAATAACCTCTTGAGCAGCAGCTCCCCCCCAGGTATGCAGCAATGGTGTGTGGCTCAGCAGCTCCATATTGGCAAAATTCATGGACGTAATCATCTTTCATCATTACAGATAATCCATATTCCTGAAGGAAATCAGTGAGACAGGACTTCAATTTTCCTCCATCTTCTTCTACTTGATAATTAGATACCCCTGGATATCTACCAAATTGTTTATGAAATCTATCAACAGCCCGTAACAGTAAGTACAATACCATCTCATTATCTGGATTGTCCATGCTGGAAATAATTTTGTCCTTGTTCATTGTATCCACACCATATTTTTCAGCTAAGGAGCAACATCTCACCACTAGAAGAAATGCAGAATTGGTACAGAGTAATTTTAATTCTTTCTCTGAAATGGATTCTGGTGCCTGGCAATGGACTGCAACAATTTGGCAACATGATGACACACAGCAGCAGCATCTTTCTTTGTCTTTTCATGGCAGACATTTTGCAGTTTTATATATTTGTTTGAATCTGCAATCATATCAGGAATTGTGCCTTGCACTGGTAAATTTCCTTGACTTTCTTGGCCTACTAATTCTTTTAAGGCATGAGCCAAAATCCAAAATGGTAGAGTCTGTTTTGTAATATTTATACAGTGATCATCATTAAATATATCTTCATTATTGCTTGGCATCTGAGTTGTATTTAATGCTGTGTTCACATTTTTAATAGCTTCTTCAAAATTCTCTTCATCTTCTGGCGTTCCACTTTCATTCTTCAAAATTTCTTGTCTAATCAAATCTCTGAAGTCTTCTCTTTATAGGTTTTAGGAATTCATCCATTTGTTTCACTATACCACCATAGAGTATGGCTATGGTCCTTTTTTTCCATATAATCTATATCATAAGACTGAAAATGTTCTTTCAGTTCAGGAAATGGCTTATCCAGTCATAGATCTGCTAATGTCTTATCTAAATGAGATTCTATTACTGAATGTTCTTTTACAGTGATCCTCATATAACCAACTAGTCCATATGCCCTACAGATCAAAAGAGGGATTTGGGAATTCCAGAGGACATCTGCTAAACGTAGCAACATACTTTCAGGAAGCTGAGTTGCAACCACAACAGTAAACCTCTTCCACAAAACTTCAGACATCATTATTTAGTTCCTGTAAGAACTCCATGGCAGCTTCAGCTTGGTTCTTGCCAATACTGCTCCTTTGAAGGAAAAAATTTTTTCCAGCATCTTCTCCACTGACCTGATTTCCATCAATAACCATAAATGTTCCAATACCTGGTAGTACCAAGCCTTTTTTTTTTTGTTTTGGTGCCAGTGATCGAACTCAGGTCCATGTGCTTGCGAGGCAGGCGGCGGAACCACTGAGCTAAATCCCCGGCCCAGTAGTACCAAGTTTTTAAGGATTTCAGTGCCTGTAGGTGTTGCATTTATCAAGCAAACATGAGCAGATTCCAAAGCCTCTTCCCCATCATCACCCCACAACCTCAGCTGTCGGTTGTACTTCTGTTCTCTTACTCTGATTTTAAAAAACACATTCCAATAACTTTAAAAGTCCTCTCAGCCACTTAAACTAATACTCTTTGAGTCCTCCAAGGAAGACTTTGTCAGTTACCAAGATGTTCAAATTCAACCCTATCAAGGAAGACCTTTGTCAGTTACCAGTATATTCAAGTCATCATTAGCCAAATATAACAGACACAAGAAAAGCAGGAAAGCAAGAAACCAAAGAGTTAAACAATATAAAACAACAACAAACCCTAGCAGTAGCTTTCTCCGAGTCCTTATAATTGTATAGTTCAGTACACTTTTGGGTTGTGCTACATTGAAGACCTCATGAAAGGCGGCAAACCAAAAGTCCAAAATATAAAAGATTTTGTATGTAAACTTTCAGATACATCTTTATCCTGGTAACTTCCCAATATTGAATAGTATAATTTGGCATTAGTATACAATATATGAGCCCATCAAATGAACTATGTGGCCCAACATCCTACAGCCTTCAGACCTGAGGACTAAATTTTGGCACCTGCACCTGGACCATCAGTATTGTTTCAGGCTAATACTTTGTGGCTTAATTCTTTCTTTCTTTACAAGAAGGCTTTTTTTATGGAGAGATTCTCATGGAATGTTTCTAGTAAACACAATTGGTTTGATACAAATATTTTCAGCAGCTAGGAGCCCAGACAAATTTCTACTATTAATAAACAGCTCAGATTACCTGAGAAATAATTTCTCCCAGATGACCAGAAATCTGCTTTCCAAATTTTTAGATCTTTATATGTATTTCAGCTTTCTGGAGCTAAGAAACTTGAATCACCTTAGGTTTTAAAAAGGAATCCAGATGTCCCCAAGGCAAGCTAATCAAGCACAGTGAGGTGAAACACAACTTCCCTTGTGAGTCCCAAGCACAGTACAGAATCATAAATAGGTAACTGAATGATATGCTTTCTGTCAATATTGTCTAAGACTGTTGTTTTTTAAATAGTCAGTGATACAATGCTGGCTGTTACTGAACTTGGTAGTTAATTATATATCTTAGGTATTTCTCACCCTTTTCATGAAGCTGGGCCTACAACTGTAGGACATCTTTTTAATGTCTTAAACTTTGGTCTTAATCATCCTACTGTATGACATCTTACTCATCCCAAGTTGTTATTCAGCCTGTTATCTATACCTTTTTGTATTATGTTACACACAGGTTTGAGAAGCCCTGCCCTTTACAAATTTATCCAAGGTTGGTAACAATGATAGTGCAGCCCTGCATAAGGATTGCACCTTCACTTTGTGTTTCATTTATTAATCAGCCTCACGCTTTGTAGTAATAAATACTTTCCTAGGATAATAATGGTGTATGTGGTAGATAGGGATTATATGAAAGGGAATAATTTAATTTGAAGGGATCTTTTTTTTTTTTTTGGTACCAGGGATTGAACTCAGGACCTTGCACTTTTGAAGCAGGCACA